AATTTACACAAAAATTCAATATTTTTTATAGGAACAATCTATATTTTCCACTTGGGCGAAAAAATACCTAACATCTGGGGGGGATAATTCTAAAGAGGAAGGTGGAATGTTTTTAAAGAAAATAAACATTTTACACCAGTGTAGACTAAATTATTTGAATTCTAGAGAACATTGTTTTTGTTACCATTTTTTCAGTTGTTATTAGGGGTAGAAAACCCCAAGACCCCCCCCTCCCCCGTTAATTTAAGAAGTTAAAACATCTTTAAGTCAGGTTTGCGTAAAAGAAAGTTTTGTTATTTGTGTACGGTCAAATATTCAAATAATTTTAATTGTGATTTTGATTTAAGTACTTTAATTTTGAATTTAAAATTTTATCATTTTAATTATTTTAATTATTTTAATTTTGACTATTTTCAGATTCCCCTCGACGGTTTATTATTCTTCACTGGGCTTCGTTCTTCGTTAGTCTGACAGGGATTATCATGCTTCTCATTGCTAGAGGTAAATAAAGCTTAAAGGGATTGTTCATTAATTTTGACGGCGATCTAGGTTTAATTGCTAAGAGTTTCTGTAAAGAGGAAAAATAAGATATCAGTGTAAACGCTGTACCATTTACAGACGTAACTCTGTAACCATTATACCAGAGGCGTATACAGGAGGGGGGATATTGTGCCCTTAGTGAAATCCAGGGAGTTTTCAGACCCACCCCCCTCCTACCCCCTTGATTACTTGATTACTTGAAGTAGTCATGCAAAGAGAGCCACGTGCTTGGCCATGTTATGGTCTCCATACTCCTATTACTTGTTAACATACTGAGATCTAGGACTTATAAATTCATCATATTTGTTTTTCAGTTGATCAATTTTCACTACAGATCTCACTTCCTTAGGAATGTCATTCCATATTTTTGGTACTCTCACATCATAAGAACTTTTAAGGGTTTGTGTCTAAGATCTCATGAGTTAGAGAACAGCCTTGTTTCAAGTCCTTGGTTTTCAGTATATCTCTGAAACCAGTGGTTTTCCTGCACCTGGTCTTTACCATTCAGAATTTTCCATGTTTGGATTTCATCTCCTCTCTGTCTGCGCTCCTCCAGGCTGGTCATCTTGACTTCTTTTAATTTCTCTTCATATGAACCCCCGTAAAAGAAAAAATGTGAAGGCCCCCCCCCCTGGATATACAGGGTTCTTGTTTTTTTCTTATTCCTAAAATGGTGTTTTATTTGTAATGTCCAATTGGTAAATAATACTTTTAATGTCGCATGTTCAATTTAAAATTTACGTTGATGTTTGTTAAAATCACATCAAGAAAATAAATAAATCAGATGTTATCTACGCTTTTTTTGAAAATATTTTTCGGTCTGGGTATATCCTTTTTAGGAACATATTTCTCAAAAGAAATTTGTCAATAAATCGAAGTTAGAATTAATCATTTCCTTTTTATCGCATTTTCAATTTAAAATTGACGTTGATGTTTATTAAATCACATCAAGAAAATAAATAAATCAGATGTTATCTACGCTTTAAAAAAATATATTTCGGTCTGGGTAGTGGGTATATCCTTTTCAGTTCTTGAAATCTGTTTCTGTCTTGATGATACAAAACATAAACGGTTATTATTAAAGGGACAGATCGGCTATGTAAGGTGTTAAACAGAGTATACAGTGTTGTGGCGTTTGAGCGCAAAGTTGATGCTCAAAATTATGAATTTGGGTGGGTACGTTTTCAGAATCGTTTTTTTAATTGTTAAATAACGACGACGAAAAATATAGTAAAAATTCTATAGTAAACTAAAAATATGTTTATGAACATATTTCTCAAAACAAATTTGTCATTAAATCGAAGTTAGAATTAATTATTTTCTTTTTCATGATTATATTGAATTTCTTATTTTCTATGAATTTGTTCGCAGATTTCTTAATTCTTCAAATGTCGTCTTTTTAATAAAAATTCCAGAAAACCTACAGGAAATCTTTGTGATTAAAGAGAGATTATAGTAACTAATCTGTTCTTAAACAACTAATTAGTTTACTGTAGAAATTTGTTTACATTACGTAATTTAATAATTAAAAAACAATTCTGAACATGTATCCACCCAAAAGTACGATTTTGAACGTCGACTTTGCGCTCAGATCTTTAAAAAGTGGTATATGTCTAAAATGAATCTTAAAGAATTTGTCCACACACTGCATACTCAGTTTAACTACCTTACATTGCCGATCTGTCCCTTTAAGTCATAGCTGTTTTTTGTCCTACCAACCACAAGACCTAGTTGAACCACACTATTCTAAATCTATGTATTTAGGACACTACTCTATTGATTGTATCCTGGCCTACTATGTAACCACAAGAATGTGGTGGATATATCACACACTGGCCCACAATAATATCCTCAAAACTAGAGGCGCGCATAATTTCTTCGATCAAATGTGGTGGTGGCTCATTTTCAGGTAGTAAAATCTTCAACAATATATAAATCTGTCTAAATCTTTTTATCTCTATTGCCAGATTTTAAAATGGCAACTTCACCAAGTGTTTAATATCCCACTTTCTAGGGCGTTCACAGAAATAAATATAGAGGTGGGACAAAAATTGTGTTGCCCCCCCCCCCTNTTTATGGGTTATGGTATTCATTTTACGAAATTGTCTGTTATTGAAAATTTGTATCCATTCTTTTATATTGTAATTTTACTTTTTGTAATTCTTTACTACTTCAGGGCTTATTTAATTCCCCCCCCCCTACCCCCCTCCCTAGCCTAGGAGCTCCTAGAGGGGGGGAGGGGCAAACTTTAAACTGTAAATTCAAAACATTGGCTTCTTGGATATCAGGCACAAGTATAAGATATTTTAAAGGTACACTTACAGTTCCATCATCTTGCAAGTACTACTTTATCTCTCCTTCAAAAAAAATTCTGTGAACTTAGAAGGGAAAATTAGGTTACAGCACTGCAATAACATGTATTTTTTTTGGTGTGGGGGGGGGGCTCCCCTCAAACTTTTTGAATTTGTATATTTTTTGAAGTTGTCGCTTGTGAATTTGATTTGTTAATTGTAAAGTTGCTGTCTGGGAAAAATTGCCTAGGTCTATTAAGTTTTAAACACTCAGTAATCTGGGAATGACGAGTGTTTTATTCAGAAATATATTTTTCTTCAGTTGGAAATTATTCTCTAAGTTTTGTTAAAAAAATATATTATTTTTTTTTTTCAGATATTTTGAAAGCAAGATCACAACTCCTCTCCCCCGTAAATACAGTATACCTTTACCACGGCGGGTGAAGAATTATCTAAAATCCTGTTTCCGACGGCGGAATCAAGAAAGCACGGCGGAACCCTAACCATTAAATACTCCGTTAGTGGAGGTCGAGTTCAGCCTCTTGTCTTGGCGACTCGAAATATCGAGGAATATTTTGACCTTTTAACCTTGTAAAGTTGTATTCGAAGCTTTAACAGTATTTCCACAATTACAAAGACAGTAAAAGAGTGGATTCGAACCAAACGAAACCGTTTGTTACTTTCCGATGAGTCTCAATATTAAACTTATTCCATTACAGTGCGCGCATGCGCCCTACGCTGTGCACGTTAGGGTGTTCCAAAGAATGCTACGTTAGAGCTTTAAATTGAATATCTGAGTTCCTCTTTTAAACTGAATAATTACTGAGGAATTTACCGCTTTAGCTTCAGAATACGTTGCTTTCTTAACTGCCTTGAAATACAAGCATCACGTGACCGGGCTCTGCATCACGTGACTGGGCTCTGCATCACGTGACCAGGCAGTTTGATTAAGAAAAAAGTACCATTTATTGATGAATTTCAATGTTTAAAAACAGGATTTAATCCATGTCCGAAAAAAGTTGTATTTATATTTATATTCATATCAATAATTTCATTGACAACAATTTCAAAATTGAGTTTTTCAAAAGTTCGGCTGTGTGTTCACATTGTACAACCATGTACGGTGTACATTACTTTGCACGCAAACTGTATAGTGTACAGTTAACAAAAGTTGTAGATGTTTATTTTTTTTCAAATTTCATAAATCAGTAAGTTTTTAAAAACGTTAAAAAATGTTATGTTTTCTTTTAGATATTTTTAGCCTTTGGCTTTAAACCCGACATTTTCCAATTTGTAAAGATATAAAATGTATTTATGTTTTTGCTGATTATTTTTTTAGCAATATTAATTGATTGATCTGAATCCTAAATCCTATATTGAAACAAATGTTTGATTTAAATATTTATTCACCAGTAGTTGTTCCAGGGAACTTACTTGTATTTTTTAGTTTTCAGTTTGGGTCTAAACCCAAGTTAACAGAGTCAGAAGTTTATTTTAAAGGGATGTTATAGCATCTTAATTTTTAGCAAATATTTTTTAATCAATAGCAAAGATTTATAATAATATATGTATTAAACATACTATTTTTTGATCCCAGCAATCAAAATAAAATTTTACGGATTAATTAATAATCAAACCTGATAATTTCAGCTGTATTATGTTTCAAAGATTAAAATCCCTCTTAATCTTTTTGAGACTCTGGAAAAAGAATTGTTAGAAATCTAAAATTTTAGAAATTAAAATCTCTGTGATAGATCGTTGAAAAGCATTTTGAGTTGAATTCGAATATAGAAATAAATTATATTCTGACTTAATGTCCTTGATTTTCCGGTTTCTGCTAGAAATAGACAAAAGAAGAGTAGAGAATTCCATTTCAGCCTTAAAGGGACTATATGCGTAATTTCAAGTATAACTCCATGCAATGATGGCAATGTCCAAATTACAACGGTACACTTGAAACCTTAATCTGATGAAGAATGTGGAAGATATCGTCGTTTTTCTGATTTAAGGTGTTTATTTCTGTAAATTTCTTCTCAATTCTTATTATACACAAGAAATATCCAAGTCACTTTCACAGAGAAACCGAAAGTGGAATGAATTTAAACAGGAAGAAAATTTTAAATCTTAATTCACAGCTTTCGAGGGTACCGTTTTAAATCGGGTATTGCATGTATGGTCACCTGAAAGTACGCTCAGAGTTTTTAAAGGCGGTGTTGACTTATTTAAAGTGACTCTCCAGATTTGTAGCGGCTTTTTTCAGACTTATGAAAACTTAAGAATGAGATATCCTTAATCCTGATTACTTAATCTAAGTATTCAATGAAACACAATTTTGATTTCTTCTTAAACTGTTCTTTTTTGGATTTAGTAGAGAAAAATCAAAAACCCGGTTTTGTTAATTTAGAGAGTTCCTCCTGTTTCTGTATATGATCATAAATGGCGCGCAAAATTTTAAATTTATCTACTTCATATCCTCTGATTGGTTGGATTTATACACTTTTCTGGATACAAGCACAAGATTAGGTTAGTCTCGATATTAAGACAAAGAGAGGATCAGGCATTAATCTCAATATCCACTATTCTAAAGTTTTAAGCTCAGAATCCTGATCGATTGAGCTTGATATCCTCTGTCGGCACTTGAGAATCTATAAATACTAGACCTTTCCATATCTTTAATTTAGTTATTCGTCCCATGATCAAAGTCCCCTTCACCTCTATCTGGGTAGGATTTACCATGCTGGTTTATTAGTAAAGGTTAACAAAAAAAACGAGATTAAACATTGAATTCGATATTCACTGTTTACATAAATTAGTCCTAACTGTTAACATCCAAATGACAAACCGAACAAACCTTTAAAAGAAAAATTAATACACGGATACATTTATAAGGATGAAATATGACCATCGTTTTTTTGCCTAATAATCACCAAAAAAAAACCTGTTCAGAAAGATTGGCAGAGAATATTAAGGACGAGAAAGTAGTATTTATCCAAAAATAAAACTCTACTGTAAAAGGATATTTATAGATGATACATATATAGTATATGATGCACATAATGCAAAGAATAGACCTGCAAAAGGAAGATATCTTTGTCCTGAATGTGAGTTTGATGAACAGAAAGAAAAGAATATAGTTTTCAAAGAGGAACCAATTACTCCCCCTACTCTAGAGAACACATGTACTATATATGTTGATGGCGAAGAAGAAAATATTAAGATGGAACCTGTTGGAATGAAAGGTAAAATTTTATGATAAGTTTCATAGAAAAGAAAATAAAAGGGGCGTACATTCGTTTCTGTTCAGGAGGGCCTTAGCACCTGTTGGGGCCCAAAAACGCCCATGTAAATCATAGATTTCACTGATCCAGGGGGGGGGAGGGCTGAGCTGAGCCTGATTTCGCCTCTGATAAAGCATACTCTGAATGAAGTTCTTTACTTCACTGAACGACGAGTTGTCATTTAATAATAATAATAATAATAAAAATAATTACTTCTATAGGGTGATAATTTGGATGCTGGTATAGGTTATGATATAATGCCCACAAGAGCCTTGAAGGGAGTTTCTTTCCCTGGAGTTTTCTTCTATAATATTAACATAGTTTTAACCTGTTGATCCTGTACCCCCTCTTGTCGACCTAGGTCATATTCATAGCAGGATTAAATATCTTACTTTCTCAACTCTGTTACAGGTTATGACATGAATCATGGAAAAATTATTTACCCCCCCCCCCCCCTAAAAAAATAAAGGGAAATGAAGAATAAAAACCCAAAAGCACTTTTTCTCGATTAAGATTTTGCTCCAGCTCCGACTATTCGACTTTTTAAAACCTCTTGATGCAAGGCCATATATATCCTTTTTATTTAGTGAATTCCCTTACTTTCTCAACTCTGTTACAGGTTATGACATGAATCATGGAAAAATTATTTACCCCCCCCCCCCCCTAAAAAAATAAAGGGAAATGAAGAATAAAAACCCAAAAGCACTTTTTCTCGATTAAGATTTTGCTCCAGCTCCGACTATTCGACTTTTTAAAACCTCTTGATGCAAGGCCATATATATCCTTTTTATTTAGTGAATTCCCTTTAGGATTGAAATGGAAGAAGTTGAGCACTCCAAAACTATGATTTGGTTTGATCAGGAATATTTCCAAATAATTTTGGAACTATAAGAAAAGTGAAATTAGTCGGCTGGATCCCAGTCAAAGGTCGCCTAAATAATTTCTTTTCAAAATTTAACTACCTCTAATTAAATTTTGTTCAAGTTATATAATATTTTTATTCTAACTATTCAGGAGAAAACATCAATCAACAATTGGATCCTCTGCAATCAGAGCCAAAGAGAACCAAGAGGCAAGAAAGGGGATATTCTTGGAATGATTGTGAGGATGTTGCAACTAGACCTTGTCTTTTGAAAAGACGAGTTGAGAGAAAACATGAAAGTAATAAACATCTATGTTATGGATGTGATTATACCGCTACAACAGCCAGTTCTCTGAAGGTACATATAAAAAAAAACATGAAGGAGTTAGGTATTCATGCTCTGAATGTCAGTACACTGCTGCTAGACCAGGTGATCTGAAGATTCATGTTGCAAGTAAACATGAAGGAGTGAGATATCCTTGTTCTTATTGTGAGCATGCTGCAACTACAGCAAGCAATCTAAAGGTTCATGTCGAAAATAAACATCAAGGAGTTAGATATCCTTGCTCGGAATGTGAGTTTGCTGGAACTACAGCTACATATTTAAAGATACATGTTGAAAGCAAACGTAATGGAGTGATATATTCCTGTTCTAAATGTGATTATACTACAAGCACAGCTAATAGGCTGATGGTTCATGTCGAAAGTATACATGAAGGAGTGAGATATCCCTGTCTTAATTATGAATATGCTGCAACTAGAGCAAGTGATTTGAAGAGACACGTCGAAAATAAACATGAAGGAGAGAGATATCCTTGCTCTTTGTGTGAATTTGCTGCAACTACAGCCAAGAATCTGAAGTTTCATGCATAAAGGTGTGCGATATCCGTGTTCTGAATGTAAATTTACAGCAAGTCTTAAAAACAAAATCTGAAGATTCATGTCGAAAGTTAACATGAAGGAGTGAGATATTCCTGTCTTTATTGTGAATATGCTGCTACTAGAGCAAGTGATTTGAAGAGACACGTCGAAAGGAAACATGAAGGAGTGAGATATTCCTGTCTTTATTGTGAACATGCTGCAACTTGATGCAAGTGATTTGAAGAGACACGACGAAAGTAAACATGAAGGAGGGAGATATCCCTGTCTTTATTGTGAACATGCTGCAACTAGAGCAAGTGATTTGAAGAGACACGTCGAAAGTAAACATGAAGGAGTGAGATATCCCTGTCTTTATTGTGAATCATGCTGCAACTAGAGCAAGTGATTTGAAGAGACACGTCGAAAGTAAACATGAAGGAGTGAGATATCCCTGTCTTTATTGTGAATATGCTGCTACTAGAGCAAGTGATTTGAAGAGACACGTCGAAAGGAAACATGAAGGAGTGAGATATCCCTTGTCTTTATTGTGAATATGCTGCAACTAGAGCAAGTGATTTGAAGAGACACGTCGAAAGTAAACATGAAGGAGTGAGATATCCCTGTCTTTATTGTGAATATGCTGCTAATAGAGCAAGTGATTTGAAGAGACACGTCGAAAGGAAACATGAAGGAGTGAGATATCCCTGTCTTTATTGTGAACATGCTGCAACTTGATGCAAGTGATTTGAAGAGACACGACGAAAGTAAACATGAAGGAGGAAGATAGCCTTGCAAGGTCAAAGTGTGGGACTCTGGGGAATCGAACAAAGGTCAAGTTAGATGAAGTCCTCCCATCAACTTGCTGCGGTTTACCCTTGTTATGAATGTGAACATTATGCAACTGTAGAAAGTTTTCTAAAGATTTAATTTAAAACCAATCATATCTGTTTTAAATCCTAGTATGTTGCCATTGAAGCAAACAATATAAAAACACACCTTAACGTATTTGTAAGGGAGGTTATGTTCGTTATGCAAGTGTAATCCAAAAGCAAGATATCTGAAGACCATTACAAGTTAACCTTTGTAAAACATTAATATGTCAAATGTATTATAAGTGGACACAAAGTCATGAATCACCTTTGACTACGCGAATAAGCCGCATGCGTCTAAATTGGACTGTCGTTTTAATTTTAATTGTGACCATGCCAGCATTAAAAAAAGGATGCCTGACTCACATCGGTATTTTTAAACCTAAATTTGCTCTTTCTTCTACAAGGTGAATTTAAAAATCAATGAAAGGTTCAAATTCTTATTTTTAATATAATTTATTAGTGGTGTGAATTTTCAAAACTGTTAAAATTAAGTCATCTTTTAGTTGAAATATAAAATCAATGTTTGAATTTTGAAAATGTTGATTCTGGGCTATTTAAAAACTGATAAAATTTCATTATCTTTAAACTAACGCAATTTGTAAAGGTGGATCTGTTTCAAACACTCATGATGCATTTTTTACCCATCTGGAAACAATCGAACACTTGATTGAGTGTTCAGGTGTTTCATGGCAAAGCACCTGGCTCATTTATAATTTAATTTTTCAAAATTGTTTATTTATTGTTTTTTGTTAAAAAAAAGAAATTTAAATATTTTATATTTTTATTTTTTTCTTAGATTATATATTCCATATGAAGTATGGACACTTAAAACCAAGGATGATCATATTAGGAAAGTTTTAGAGAGGAATGAACAAGTAGGGTTGTTAATCGTTTTTGAAAACGATCGTTAAACGATCGTTTTTTGCTTCGTTTTTCAATCATTTTCGTTAACGAAACGACGAGTTTTATAAAAACGACAATTTTAAAAAACGAACTTTTTAAAAAACGATCTTTCGTTTTTGATTTTTTGTCGCCTTTTTTATAACGAAACGATCGTTTTTCAAAAAAAAGAAAACGTTAACATCCCTAAGAACAATTTATGATTTTGGGTTTTGGATTTTGATGAGCCAGAGTTGTGAGCCATGACGAGCCGAGAGCTGTCGACCATAACATAGTGTTGATCGGGATGTATTGTTCTGCCCACCTCTAGGACTTAGTCCTAGTTACTATTTACTTATTGTAATAGTATTCATCATACAAGATAACTTCGTGTTTCAAGTGTTTGATTATATGATAATTTCTCCGTTGTTTCTGAAGTAAGACGACATTTTATTTTCAATCAACATTTTAGCAAGTCACAAAATTTAGTTTATACTACGAATTTCCTCTGATTTAACACTTAAAAATATGATTTTCAGTTGCAATCTAATATATTTATTTCTCAAACATACACAATTTAGATTCTTTAGATAAATGGTTAAGGTAAACACGTGTAATAAATAAATAAATAAATAAATAAATACAGGAAATAGGAGTTTAATGTGCAAAACGCAATAAATTGGTACAATAAGTTTAGCAGAGAAAAATAATAATATTACCAAACTAAGCTTGGTCAAAACTATCTTATTGATATATGAAATCCTCCATTTCTCTTTCATGTCTATTTCTCTAAATATCTTGAAATTTTTTTAATTTCTTTGTCAATTCTATTTAATCTAAAATACATTAGCCATTAATATTTTTCCTATGAAGAAGTCAATGAATAGATTAAACTTGCAGAGCATGGTGAGAGGACTGGGACAGTGAAGTGGTTCAATAAGATATTTATGACTAGCCTTCAAATTCCTCATTACAAGAGAGTTAAGTTTTGGAGAAAATTAGAGAGTATTAAAATGTTTAAGTTCGTTGAAACTCAATTTCAGGCTGGACATTTTATTTCAACTGAAACTCCAAAATCAAAATCGTCCTCAAGAGAATTTTGAGAGTTTTCCCATGTTTGGTTTCTGTATATTTCAATTGTTTTAGTACCATCTCCATTTCCTCCAAATGCCATCAGCTGATCCTGGTACACGTGGAGACTGAGGAAATATCTTGCGGTATTCATCTTGCTGATTGTTTTCCATGACTTTTTCTTCATGTTGAAAACCTCCACATCAGACAGAGTTCTAAGAGTTAGAATGGATTGATATTTTTAATTGTTACAATTATAGAAATTGAAAAAATGTGTTCTTACGTAGCGGTAAAGCTCCCTCCTGCTGCATAAAGTTCTTCATTATAAAAAGTACATCCACAACCAGATCTAAACAACTTTTAAAATTTGATTTTTGTATCGACATGTGTGTAAACAGGGTTTACAAATATAACTGTTGTATTTTTTTATTAATAGTTTATAAATTTTAATTGTTAAAATCCAACTTTTAAAAATTGGTTTTGAATGAAAAATGGAAGCAAGGAAATTGCTTATTGCAGGAATATTCAAAATAAAAAAACTTGGAATGTAAATGATCTATAACTGTTCTTCGCAAAAGATATCCCAAGCTAATGGATATAATAGATAATAATAATATTATTTTGCTTTTTTATGCCTTATTGTTTGCATTTTTATGAAGGGTTTCATTTTGAAAAGTTACCACCAACCCTTCTGGTCTAAGACGAACCCATTAATAAGCAACATACACATTTAACTTGAATAAAGAAATAATCGCCAAAATATCCTAACATGCAGTTGAATAAATTGTTCACCTTGCTTGATTCATGCTTGGCAGTGTATCAACCAATTGTCCATCAACATCATAGTTCTCCACTGTAGACATAAATGCTCCATTAAATCCTCCAAGTACTATCATTTCAGTTTTGCTAAATTAAAGAATTGAGGGGTATATATTTTGAAGAATTATGGGGGGGGGGGGAATAAATGGACATAACATTTTTTATCACCCTTTTTGCACTTTTTGTCTAAAAACATTAAGTACCTACAGTATAAAGATTATAAAGAAGATAGTTCAAGCTGTTACATAAATTGGTATAATTCTATTCTTAAAAATGTTTCACAAATGTAAAAATTACCTTATTGCTACAGAACATTGGAGGTATCTTCCACTAGTAAGTTTGTTGGTTAGAGTTGTCCAGCCGTTCTTTTCATCATACCGTTCAATCTCTTCATAACTATTACAGGGTGTCCCAATAAACATGGGAATTAAGTGACGACTTTTAAACTGTTTGTTCCGCGTGGCAATATTAAGTAAACACAATTTCTTAACATACCAGTTAAAAAAGTTAATAATTTTGAAGCTAAAAAGAAGGCAGACCACATTTTCAAAAGCTCAGAAGATGGTCAGTCTTCATTTGAAACACTCTTTTTCATTTATTAAATATCGAAAATAAAAGATAATTTTTCAGTTGTCTCTTAATTCCCATGTTTATTGGGACACCCTCTTAAAAAGAAAGGGGTTTTAAAAAGATTGGAATAATAACACTACCAAAGTGAATCATGTCATGAACCGTCAAGGCACTTTAAATATGGGTACTGGGTAGGTGGGTCGGCTGGGTCATGGGTGTTTACTCAAAAAGTTTTCACTAATGATTACAATTTTCCAGCAATGGCAATACATATATAAAAATGTATATTCATAATCATTATAGTTTTTATCATTTGATGAAAACTTACTAGACTAGATTATTTAAACGGCCACCCAAGACCAGAATAAAGTTTCCCAATGCAGTCATAGTCGGCCTTAATCTGTTCAAAGATAAGCAATCAGTTGTCTCCGCCCAGGCTTCTGAAGTTTCAAGACTACCAGAGTAACATCTGAACAACAAATCTTTTAACTGGCAGGTCAAAACTTGAATCCAAAAAACGTCCAAACGGGTAAACCAATCGAACTAAAGTTTTCTGGTATCTCACATGACATGGCTGATTATAATTGAAATATTTCGCTAAAGAAAGTTGTTAATTTTTGAAATAATTGGAAATCAATCATTGCTTATAGAAAAATCTCTGAATTTTAGTATGTACAAAAAAGGCGGTTTTAAAAACAACATTTATGAACTTATAATTGTAGAAAACTGAAAAGAGAACTTTCTAAGATTAAATTATAATCACTTGTTATCAGCAGAATTGTAGATGTAGGTGTTTCCATTTAAAACTGTAACTCCTGCATACATCAGATAAATAAAGTACTATTAATAAATTAAATGATGAACACATAAATGTATCTTAAATCTTGAATTCTAATTTATGATTCATTAATGAACACTGGCACTGCACAACATTATATTATAAAGTATTATCTATGTAGCCATTTATTTTTTGCTGTCTGTCTGTTTTTATTTACCAATTAAAACATTTTCCCCTGAACCGATTTGCCTCAATATTTTAACATGGACCTCAATAGAACAGCGGGAAGGTTTTTAGCCTGGTTTAAAACTTAAGTGGGTTGAAAGCATAAAGAATAAAATATACAGAGAGGAATTTACTGGAAAAAAGTGTAATACGGCCATTTTGCTGTACTGTTTCCATACTGCAGGTGTACTTCACATATTTATGCTATATAACCTGTTGGGCCCTGGAATATCATTTTATAGAAAATCTAAAATTATTGTTAAAAGNCTAAATATTTTTGTTCAAAATAAAAATTCTGTTTGGTTTGGCAACTTTTTTCTGCAGAATCTTTCCTACTTTCTGAAAGGTTTCACATCGATATGTATAAGGATATCTACTCGATATAAAGCAATATTTATTAATACTTATTTTAACTCAAACTCATAACTAAATGAATATAGAAAAAATATGCCGGTTTAAGAAAGTTTTAGATAGATATTTGTTATCATCCAGAACAAAATGTTTTATCAAAATTAAACTTTTTTAGATTTATTGGACGTTTTCAAAAAAATGCAAAAAAAATCATTTCTGACACCCCTAGGCTTAGTACGTCAATATAATTCACCAAAACCATACTGCAGTCCTTCAATTATCATACAGGGAAATTTTCATCTTTCTAAACATCCCAACGAATGATTTGACAGGTTCTTTAGTGCAAAAAAGTCATGAACAATAATAATAGAAAAAAACAGTAAATTCCCCGTTAAAGGGACTGTAGCTGTAATTTCAAGGGATTATTTATCTATTTACAATAATACCTTGTCATGGATGACTAAGATATCCTTTTTTAACAAAAATGAATACCAATTGAAGTTTCTTTGCTCAAGACATTTAAGGATTAGTGCTACCGAAAATAAATGTGACAGTTTAACACGTTTCAAGACAGAAAATGGACAATACCTTTCCCACTGTTACTTAGATAAGAGTTTTAAAGGAAAATTGTGAATCATGCATGCCTGCATGCCTGCATGTCCATCTTTTGATTAAAATAGAGGGTCAATTGAATATACACCGACAGTCTCTGTAAACCAGAAATAAAAGTCTTGAAAAAAAACTGAATTTTTGTCACAAACTGTACTGTTTTAATCTCTTTATCTTTGCAACCCGATGCCGTAGACCTTTGATATTTCAAATTATGATTTCTGTTTGACCAAATAATCTAAGTTTGAAATATCAAAGGTTTACATCATCAGATTGTAAAGATATAGGGATTAGACAATTTGAGTCTGTGCCAAAAACTCTGTTCCTTTGAGATAAAATCCATTAATTTTTACCTCCTCGTGAGAACAGTCCCACAGTTACGGGTAATTTAGCTTTGCATCCATAAATCTGATCAGAGCTTGTTCCTAAATAATTTTTAGTTTCATGTTTTTTTCTTTAAAAGAAAAAGAATTTATTTCACATATATAAGATTAGTTTTTTATAATTTTTCCTGGAAATATTTGATACGCAATTTTAATTAAATTGTTTAAATTGGGCCAAATTATTGAGAAGTTAAAAAAATGTCACATTTATAACTTTTTCTTTCTTACGCCCAAAACACTTGTTGTAAAAAAATGTTTTTTTAATGTTTTTGGGAGTTGTATTTATTTTATAATATTGGATGTGCAGAATGAACGCTGACCAGGATACATGTGGGTAAAACTTTTTTTGTATTTTTTATTGTACTTCTGAAGGTGAAATCTAGTAGTTAATATTGCAGGAAGGGTTTTAATTAGGGATTCCAGCGGAATAAGGAAATCGTAAGCGAAAATTTTCCATTTTTTGCAACAAAAAAAGCGAAAATTTTAGCGAAAATATTATCGAAATACGAAAGGTTTTCGTTCGCTGGAGAACTGTTGATCATAATAATCAGATTGAGCTGTAATTTTTATATCTTTCCAGGCATTGATTAACAAGATATAAAAATATTAGTTACCATCTCCAATGAAGAAGATACCGGTTGTTTCCTAAAAAAAATACATTAACGTATCAATTCTTTCATTGAGTTGCATTTAATTCAACTATTTTTATTTTATTTTTCGTTTGAAAAATCATGAAAATGTTCAAAAATACAAAGAGAAAATTAAGGCGTGCCCGTACGGCGTTTTTTTGCAGCGTAACTTTTGCTATGGACACCGAAAAAAGGTCAATTTTGCTTTACATCATTTTTACAAAATTCAAGGAGGGGCCAAGCGCTGTGGTCAAGAAAGTTAAGGAAGGTTTTCACTTACCAAAAGTTACTTGAAGCATGATTACATTGAGAGAAAATTCTTAGCGCCGAAAAGAGCATTAATTTTCAGAGAGAAAAAAGAACAAAGTCAGAATTTCTCTGAGAATCGATGTACAAAACTTACTGTTGCATCAGTAGTATTGGTAGCTGTTGTAGCATTACTTGTACTTGTAGGGAGGTTATTCTGAAAATATAAGTTTGAATGAATTATCTACCATATATTACACCATACAGGGTGTCCCAAACAATATGGGAATTAAAGACAGTGGTTGCAAAAGTTTTGAATTAAACATTATCTGTTGTAACATCTAAATGATTCATTTTAAATTTAATTTAATTATTCATGATTTAAATGGAATACCATATCTCTGTGAATTTGCATTGGTCCGAACGTTCTTCGGTATAAGTCGTTTTTAACCTTTTTCTCCTTATGCACGCAACAGACAGAAGTAAAATTAGTAGTGATCAATATCGAATTCAATTCGATATCATCCAGACCCCCTTTAACTCTTAGCGAACACTCCTTTTAAGACTTTCGTAAAAACAATCTTAGTAGTTCCCAATTCAAAAAGTCAACACCGCAATCTTATTGGAATTTCCAAATTGTGGATTACCAAGAAATTGGTCAATATTCCAATTTCTGATTAAACAATAGAATGTTTCATATTTAATATTTCTGTCAGATTAAAATATACACATAAGGAAACCCCATTTGTTAAATAAAAAAATACTTTTTTTTTGGGGGGGGGGTGGGGTGGTTTCTCAGCATCCTTTTAGGCAAAAAACTGAAAACCAAAGATTCCACGGAACCATTGCTAAGCCCTAAAAGCCCTGAAAACATGTCTGGTACTCACCATCTGGTTGTAAAGTTCAGGTTCCATAAATACAGATATTACTTCTTCCTTGGCAATATACACTAGGCCGGGCAGCTCAACCTTAGAACATTTAGATGTTTTTTCAAGTGACCCTATACAATTAAAAAAAAACAAAAAACATGGCATGTCTGATTCACAACGGTTATTTTTGAATTTTGTTTACTTTCATAATTTCTAGAAATCCCTGTCGAGCCCTGTTTAAGAAAATTCCGTTTAAACTCTGTTGTGTAGTTTGGACTGAAAAAAGACGTTTGACTCAAACGTTTTCGTGAGATTATTAGGAAACCCGAAACTTTTTAAGTTTTCTGATTTAACATTATCATCATATGATAAATTTATCAATGTAGAATTAACAAATTAACCATATAAACAATGATTTATAGGATTTAAACCTCAAATGATAAAATTGAAGCACATTTTGATGGATAAATCTAGTTTTATCTACTATTCGTCCATAGAGGCTGAAATGTTAAAGGTTCAGACAATGAAATACCTTAAATACACAGAAATGTTTTGTAAGAGTTTAAATATTTAAAGCTCAATTACCAGGTTAAGCCTTACTAAAGACAGAGTATTTCTTAAAGATACAATGTTACTCTCAAAGCCCTTAACATTATAATTGGTATTTATTACATTAATACTGGATTGAAATTTACAATATTTTAAGGTCACATGAACCTTGACATTTTCCCCATAAACTAACCAAGAAAACTGTTGTTACTCTCTTAACAGAAATCTCCAGATCTCCAGATGTAATTAGCATCATATGTATTTGCATTGCATACTTTATTCTGCATCTTACCTTAGCAGCAGAGCAGGAGTTTGTATCAGCATCATATGTATATGCATTGCATCTTTTATTCTTCATTCTGCATCTTACCTTAGCAGCAGAGCAGGAGTTTGTATCAGCATCATATGTATATGCATAGCATCTTTTATTCTTCATTCTGTATCTTACCTTAGCAGCAGAGCAGAAGTTTGTATCAGCATCCTATGTATATGCATTGCATCTTTTACACTGCATCTTACCTTAGCAGCAGAGCAGGAGTTTGTATCAGCATCATATGTATATGCATTGCATCCTTTATACTGCATCTTAACTTAGCAGCAGAGCAGGAGTTTGTATCAGCATCATTTGTATATGCATTGCATCCTTCCGCCATAATTCTGCATCTTACCTTAGCAGAAGAGCAGGAATTTGTATCAGCATCATATGTATATGCATTGCATCCTTCCGCCATCATTCTGCATCTTACACCACATTCGAGTGCATTAGGCTCGTCGGTCTTCAATATACAATAAATAAAATGTAACCCAGCAATCATAAATTTTTTTATTCATATATACTTGTTAACCATTAATTTAAGACCTCTGTTAAATGTCGTCTTCAACTTGAATCTCCTGTCGGAGACAGCCAAACCAAATTTTCAGCCCGCAAAGGGAAAGAATTGTCCGGGGAAAATAAACATCCCCCACCAGAATCCTAACTGGCCTATTATCCTGATTTGTCTAGCGTGTTGCTGTTTTCCGTCAACAATACTGTTATTAACGGGCTGTTGAAAATAAAGAAGTTTTGTACTACTTGTGATAAATAAAGAATCTAGGGCTACTCTAGTTCCAACTACCTTAAAGCTAAATTTAAAACTACACAGCGTAGAAAAAAAAGTTTGAACAGGTACTTTGCTTTTCTCGTGCTCAAGCTTAAAATAAAAATCAAAGGAGCTACAAGGACACAAAGTCGTAAAAGTAGTTTTCATTTTGTCTAGATATTTCTCATCGTTTGCGGGTAACCCTGAAATTGTACATAGCATTCAATGGTATTTTAAATGATTTAGCAAAGTAACAAGTTTAAAGCCATAAATGTGAGAACAAAAAAAAAGATTATAATTTTTGTATGAATACTCTTGATCTTGATATCCACTGTGGACACTTTTATATTTGAGAATCAAACAAAGTTATCCCTGCAGAGAATTCTAAGTTCTGAAAACATTCTGTACAGTCGTCTGTGAAGTCTGGTCCTATGAGGTCAACCCTGTAAAACAATTCTATTAATGTTTCCAAGTTCTTTATTTAATTGTTCCTGCGTCTGAATTGACTGATCCCAGGTTTTTTGGGAGATTTTTCCTCGCTTTGAAAATAACCTAAGAAAACAACATAAATGTCAAAAATATCAAAACTGTTTATTAAAAGGAAACTAATGATTATTGATTACTTTCCTCAAACCCTTATTAATTGTATAATCTGTACATTTTTGCAACCTAAATCCTTTAATATTTCAAACCATGAATTCTGTTGTATCAAAAGTGTAAGTTTTAAATATCCGTTTTTAAAGATCTAATTAATTATCGATATACATAAACTAGTAGCCATGTTTGTCTGTTTTTCTGTTTGTCAGATCATACCTTGCCCGAGTTGCCTTAAATCATATTAAGTAGTAAAGTGAGAAATCATGAATCAGGATTTTTTTTTAAATGTAGTAACAGTTTTTCTAAAATTATCTTTAATAAAAATCTGATTTGTGTGTCTGTTTCTTTGTTTGTGTCGAATCAACGTCCAAACTGCTGAAGGCCGATTAGGACTGTTTTTTTCCTCACATAATCCATAGTTTATTAACAAAGTTTGAAAAATTCCCCATTAAAACCAAAATAATCCGGGAAATTTTGGATTCTTATCTTCTTAACCATATATTTGAAAAAATTATTATTATAAACCTTTGCCCGTCAATTAAAGGTGTAAGAAAGAAGATGAGAATCATGCATTGATATATTTTCCATGGATGCATTAGCATCCTCACCACAGTTCTCAACCTTAAAGAGAGATTTTATCACTAACGTATAAATATTACTAAATATGTGTGTTTGTTCATCAAAAATTTAGTGATAAATTCAGAATGAAAATAGGTGAAATTTTTCTATTCTATGTTTTGGTAGATAATAGACGTACATTGATATTATATATCTCTACCCCTTCTCTACACCCTTTCTACCCCCTCTTTACCCCCTCTCTACCCCCTCTCTACCCCCTCTCTACCTCCTCTCTACCCCCTCTCTACCCCCTCTCTACCCCCTCTCTACCTCCTCTCTACCTCCTCTCTACCTCCTCTCTACCTCCTCTCTACCCCTCTAAAACGTTCATTCTCCCCACAGTTTACACATCTATTTTTTCGAAGGTATCTTGCCCATTTCTGTATATTCATTATTAAAGCTTAAAAAATAAAAGTAAGTAATTACTTCCAGAAAAAGGGACTAAGCAAGTTGTCGAAAGGCCGACCTAGCTTGAGCTACTAACTGGCTAGTCTTATAATTATACACTCATATTAATAATGTGAACATAATTCATGTAAAGTAATAAACCAAGACTTAAGCAAACTTTAATTTAAGTTATAACTTTTAAGCTTGGTTTAAATCCTTGAAATAAATTACTTAATTAATTTAAATTTAAGACACACTAGTATATGTAAAGTAATTGGCCCAGAATCATGATAATATATGAATAGTAGATAAATCTTTGAAATTTATCCATAAAAATNCCCCCTAGAACTAGAAGTCCTGGTAATCAAGTTAGAAAGCCTTAGCTTTGGAACCCAATACCACATGTTAAATGAAGATTTATTTGTATTTTTTAAATACTATTATTCCTCGATCAGACAAAGGTTTTTAAGGGTATCGTTGTGCATTGGAAATAGTGGGTCACCTCAGAAATTACGGCTTTAGTTTTCTAACTCTGGGTGCAATTATAATATTTCATCTATGAGTTCTAATTATCTAGTTATAATCAGAAAAAAAAAGTAAAAGTTTAAAAAAAATAATTAATACCAAGGTCAAAAGCTTAATAATTTGAGTAAATTATATTTAAATTACTTTTCTCCGTCTGTCCTTTCAATTAGATTTTACAATATTCTTTTTTAAATATAATTAATTTCAACTTTATTAAAAAGATTTAGATCAATTTCGCATGCAATATTCATGTTGCAGGATCTGTCGATCTAATTTTAAGATTTAGACCAGTAGACTGGGATTTATTATTATTTCATTATTCTTGACCTTGTTTTCGCATGCAATATTAATGTTACAGGATCTGTAGATCTAATTTTAAGGTTTAGACCAGTAGATTGGGATTTATTATTATTTCATTATTCTTGACCTTGCTTTCGCATGCAATATTCATGTTACAGGATCTGTCGATCTAATTTTAAGATTTAGACCAGTAGATTGGGATTTATTATTATTTCATTATTCTTGACCTTGCTTTCGCATGCAATATTAATGTTACAGGATCTGTCGATCCAATTTTAAGGTACCCTCGGCCTCCATTTAAGGGGTAGCAATATGACCGATTCACAAATATCGTCTTTTCCTTTCTTGAAAAGAGAATTATAAAATTTTCTTCCGTGATCTGCTGCATAAATTAGCGATTCTATAGATAGTAAAACAGGTTTGGGAAATCAGAAAGAAATTGAGTCTTTCCAGTTTTCACATAACCTAATTTCTAATTCTTCTAATTTTGCACCCCAATGTCATAGAATTCAAATTTAAACTAAGGATTGAATAGTCTAAGTTTAAAATACCAAAGGTTGCAAAGATATGAGGATTAGAACATCTGAGTTTGTGGCCCGGCAAAGACTCAATTCCTTTATATAAATAGAAAAAAGGTGTCTCAATAATTTTAGCTGAGAAAATGGTTTAGTGTACGTTGTGGATATTTACTTGAAACTATGCTGACAGTATCTTTTGAATATTCTCATTTTCTCGATTCCAAC